TTTTTTTTTTTGTTCTTCTTATATTCCTGCGCTGTTTTCAAGGACCTTAAAGTCAGCCCTTTAAAGGCTAGGGAAACAAAAAATCCGAAAAGAAGGCTTTCAAGAGCTTTGGGTTTGAGTTTTTTTTTTTAACAAGGACATCCACTTGATCGATTTATGGCAAGGCTGAAAAGCAAAGTGCGTTTCCCGTTTGACATTTTCGCACCATTCGCGAAACGTTGGCTAATTTTAAACCTAAAAAGAAAAAGCAATTCCCATGGCATTCGCTTGATACAAATTCAATTTCATTTTCAATTATAAAGAAAACCACTTCATTTTGTAAATTAGTCGTTAAGGATTGAGAACTAACTCGACTTCCTCGACGTGCAAATGTGATTATGAAAGATTCACTTAAAAAAAAGCAGCCATAAAATCTGGCTTAGGCATTTTCTTCTTGTTAAGCTCAAAAGCTGAAAGTTAAGAATGGCTAAAGCTAAAATGATTTTCCAATCACAAGCGCCAACTTAATCTGCGCTCCCGTCTCACCTGGTTTGATTCCCATTCCCATTCCCATAACCATACCGATTCCCACTCCCATTCCCGATCCCATTACCATGCTCCAAAACCGAGTTACGCCCTCCGGCAAATTGCGTGTGGCTTCCATCAGTTGAATGATTGATGGCCCAGACCAGTTTCTTCTTTTAAACAACAAAAAAAAATGAATAAAACTAAAAGTAAAAATAAAATAAAAAAGAGTAAAAGAGAGAGAGATAGAGAGAGGGGTACATACGCAGACGGCAAAAATAACCAGCTGTTGCAAAAAAAAAAAAAAAAAAAAAATAAAAAAAAAGAATAAAGTTGGGCTGCTGTCGCCGTGGCCCGAGCGTTATTGCTCCTTTCACTTGGCACAAAACGGCGAGGAAGACGAACAGCAGGCTGGCCTAATCTAGCTGATCACCGCCGATGATAGCCAGCCATTGATACCCTTTTGCTCTCAGTCCCAGCCCGGGACTCTTGGGCACCGCATGATGATATGATATGTCAGCCAGATAGTGGTGGCATTAGGCATTAGATAAGAAATCAGACATATATATATATATATATATAGAGAGAGAGATAGAGAGAGGGAGTGAGATGAGCACAAAAGGCGTCCCTAACTTATTTGTGGTTGCAACAGCAGCAGCAGCAACATTATCATCATCAGTAGGTAGGTAGGTAGGTAGCATCCTCATTAATGGCTTAGTATTTCGAGGGTTGCATTTTACAAAAGGGGGTTGCTAGCTAGTCATTGATACAGGCCAGGCAGAGCCTACCGATCAGCAAACGAATTAATTTCTAGATTTTTTCATCGACCTATAGCCTAAAAACTAGGAAAATTAACTAGTAAATTACATGGAAAAGAGACTAAACTTTGGAATTTGATGTATTAAGAGTTTAATATTAGAAAATTATTAAAGAGAGAAGCTTAAACATTCCTCTAGCTTTTATAACAGGGAAAAATAGTTCATTTTTCTATTCAAGCTTCTTCGAAAAAAACACTTAATTATAGAACACAACTCATTCAAGAATAGTTCTATCAACTTAACTGTTAAGTTAAAGAGATCAAGGTGGTTGTCAAGGCATCCGGGGGACATTAGACCTTGTCCAAGCCTAATTGGTGGCACAATGAGCATTCCATCCACTCGAATCCACTTCAATTGAAAAGCAATTCACTGACATGACCCCCCCGCCTTTGCCTTCACCACTCAATGCTCCTTGAATATTATCTTCGGTAAGAAAGACCATCGACCACGAGCCAAGGATGGTAAGGATGTTGAATGTGAACCTGAATCGGTGAGGTTGGTTGGCTGGCTGGCTGGCTGTCAACTTCAAAAGAGCCTTTCAAATTGTATTTTTGGGCAACACCTAACTACCTGACCCCGGGATGGCCTTTAAAGAGAGCGCGTCTATAGCAGACAAATTGGCCATATCCCATATCCCATATCCTTATAGCCCATATCCCATATACATATACCCTGACACACACACACACGTGTGCAGTTGCGGGCCGCCTTTGATTTTCTAAGCGAATTGTTTCAAGAAAACCACCAGAGAACGCTGCCCGAGATTGAGGTTGAACCATGGCTTATCCAAAGGACTCTCCTGCCCATTGCCCGTGTGTGTGAGTTTTGCGCCTCAATTAATTTGATTTGCGTCCGTGTTCGTGTCCGGAAATGGAACTCCACTTGAGTTTAGTTTTTGTCAACCCGTTCCCGTTCAGCAGTTCCTCTTCCATCCTCTCCTCCTTGGACATAATTTGATTTTTTTTTTTATTCGTTCCCTGTCCTGCCCTGCCCTTCGTCTGGGGATGCGGATGAGGATTGGGAATCATCTGTTGGCTGTGTTGGATGCTCGAGACCACTTCTCTATGGTTGAATAAGCACAGAAGATGGCCAACTATGCTTTGAACTATGGGGAAACTAATGGCAGCAGACATATGCCTCACCCTCTAAGAGCCTTCCACATCTTTTTCATCGCCCCTTTTGGCTGGCTAGGAACACTGAGAAGAAAATAGAGTGATTTTTGTGGCATTTTCATGGAAAACTAGCAAAATGTTTGTAGATTTTTGTGTTTATTTTTTTGGAAAAGCGAAGATCTTTCTTTTCCCTGTAGATAGTCAGCTTTCCCCCCTTCTTCCACTTAAGATTTCTTAATATAAAACCAAAAAAAGAAAAAAGTGAAAAAAGAGGAGTTGGAGCCCTTGGCTAATTGGAGTAGAGAGTATCCCAACTTGAGTTGCAACAATTAAACGCATTAGGCGACACCTTCCTGCCGCCTGCTTGCTTTCATACAAGCCCAACCCCGGGGTTTCGTTGTTCAGTCAGTCATCCCCCTTTGACCCCTTCTTGGTGGTTCATTATACCTTATTAGGGTGGCTCTTTTGCGGCAACATGGCCGACTAACACGCACACACTCTTAACAGAATTACATACAAAGATACACACACACACACACACACACACAGTGCCAGTGCAAAGGGCGTTTAAAAACGCGCGCGTTTTCTGCCGCCCGCTAAGTGCATTTCAATGTATGAAAAGCCGCTTCCGTTTCCGTTTCTCCCCCTTTGAAAAGTGGGGATATATACCACCTCTCATCAACCTATATATATATATATATATATATTCTCGTTATAAGTTAGAACAAAGGTGGGCCCACAATTACGGAATTGCTGGTCTCTGAAGGTCTAAAGGCCTGCCACGTTGTTGTTTTGACACGCAGCCAGCGAGTAACCGGCAATACAAATATATTCTATATATGGAAAAATATAGAAAAAATCAACCATAAAATCAAACCACCACCGCCCATATTGACCCCATCATGACCGCAAAAAAGTGTTAAATTATAGACTTTATAATAACGCTCTCGGCTGCTTGGCTGCTTGGGCTGCTTGACTATATATCCCCATGATTATATGATTATAACGCTTTTGAGAGCGCCAACATCTGGCGACAACCATAGGGTTGCTGCTGCTTAGCTGTTTTTATTTTTCCAGAAAACTATCAAAGTTAAACGGCATTATCTTTGATTTTTTTGTAAGTTTTATGTTGAGAAAAGAAGGTTTTTTAATCTGCTAGAACTGCCTTAAGAACATTCCATAAATATCCTAAAATTTAAAGCAATTTAATTACCCTTCCACTCAGCTCTCTTAACTACCAAAACTCTCTACTATATTCTTTTGAAATATCGACTACAAATCGGCAACCGCCTTGATTAAATAAATAAACCTTCGATTTGGACACCGATTCGAAATCGTTGGGCCACACAAACACCACACGCAGCGTCGGCTTTTTGGCGTTTGAACTAAGCGAAATTAATGGCCAACACAGGCTACTTAGGCGGAGGCCCACGCACACCGCCGGACACGAGACACGGATTGTCCAATTGTCCGGTGGTTTCGAGGGGGGCGGGCGCGGGGCGGGTTTAGTGGCTGATCCAGGGGAAGATGGTGGTGAAGGAGTAGCCCTTATCCGCTGCTTGTTCGCTGTGCGATTTATGACTCGGTATGCAAAACGAGCCAAGAAATATAAAGAAAAAAAAGAGAAGGTGGAGGGGCGGAGACATGACACAAAACTGCAGAACCACATGGCGCCCGCCCAAGATCATAATGATCATGGTTTGTAAAAGAAAGAGAGAGAAAGATATATAGATATATATATATATATATATAGTATAGTCACACAACGGGTGGGCACTACTAGCACCATCGTCCGATCAATAAAAAATGAAAATTTGCCCAGCAGTTGATGAAATTTACGCGATCGGCGTCGGCACAACTACAAAGTCAAAAGAAGAGCGGCACCGCATCAAGCGCGGCCTTCAAATGAAAAGTCCACCGACAATTTGCCTGGCGCCCTAACCCCCCCAACCCCAACCCCAACTCCACACTCATTTACCATCCAGAATCTTCGATCCGAGAAAAGAAGGAGAAGGCTTATCCATCCGCTTCATGCGTGTGAGAAGTTTTAGATAAGCCAAGAGGAGTACTAAATATACTTCAAAGTGCAGGCCCGAGAAAGGCGAATCGGCGGATGCCATGCAAATTTGCATTGATAAGCCACAAAGATGGGGTTACCGCTGGCGGAGATGATATTTCAAGTGGCGAGTGTTAGGCGCTGGCTCTTTGATAATGATGGGGCCTAGATAAAGTTTGCTTTGATCTGCTAGGCAGAGTTCGTTGTAGGCTTCAATGAGTTAATTACTTTTGGAAAAAGAAGGAGGCAGCCATCCTAGCAATACTCTAACTAACTTTCATTGTTTACCAACATTTGCTAAGAGAAAACACATAAAAATGAAGTTAGAAAACCATCTAGAACAAAGCTAAATACTTTATCATCCCCTTTCCTTGGTATTCCTTGGTATCATTGAGTTTTGGATTTTTCATAGTTCTTGCTGTTGTATAGGTGGGGTGTCTCTTTTCTTTTTTTTTTTTTGTGGTGGTGATGTAGCTTATATAACTAATGCGGTAAACAAAGAAGACGTACAGTACTTACAAATCCATGTTTATCACTAATATTGTTGGTCAATTTTAATTTGTGAAATGAAACAACTTTCTGCATCCATTGCTCACCCGTTGTGGGTGAATCTGGATGGATATACATGCGTTTTGGCATCTCGGGATCCGCTTTCCCAGCCACCATCCAGCGACTGTAATATGATTAGTTTAATATATATATATATCTGATTAAGGTTTAAAAAACTTGAACTTACCTATTATGAAATTTATAACGATAATCGTCCGCCGCCACAATGTCCAGTAGCAAAATGTATTTAGCCTTGGCATCCAGTCCCGAAACACGAAATTTCATTTGCGGAAACATTTGTCTGCAAGGAGTTAAGAGTAAAGGAACAAAAATATTAATATAAAAAACATGAGCAAAATGAGGAATTAGAGAAGAGATGGGTGTGTTCTATAGTATAGGAGGGTGAGGGAGCGGGGGCTATAGTCATTTTCCCCCGGCTAATCAAATAAAACATTAATCAGTGCGGCTTATAAAGCCTAAGAACGAAGACGACCACGTTCTGGTTCTCAGGGGCCCACCTTCGGGGTTCAAGATGATCCATACGGCGATGGATCGTTGCTGCTGCTGCTGCTGCTGCTAACCACAGTCGCAGTCGCACTCGCACACAATCATCATCATCATCATTATCAGATTCGGACTACGAGTTGGCCAAAAGCAAACAAAACCCCCAGACCAGTCGGGCTATCAAGTGGCGCCAAGCCACAAATTGTTTCGGCTCGACTCTGAACGAACTCCCAAGCACTCCCCTGATTCCCGTTGCCCATTGCCCATTGCCCCGCCACTCACTCGGATTCAAATTGGCCTAAAAAGAGAGGTATAACCATTTTGGCGGTGGCTAAAGGGAACGCGCGGGCTCTGAGAGGTGGCCAGAGGTTCCCTCTTGGCCAGGTTGATTAGCCATGTTGGTGGCAATGTGCAAACTCGAAAATTACATGGCCCGGCCAAAAGGGGGAACACACACAGGCGATTCCGATGCGATGTGATGTCGTTGTCCCTCGGAACAACCGAACAAAATCCCAACATTGGAACAGCCTAGCAACCCAGCACAGCCCAGCAGCAGCAGCCCAACAACCCAGCCAATCCACCCAAAAAGGAACCCAGAGATGAACGAAGAGGCAGGGGCATCCATCGTCTTTGGCCAGAGGAGAACTCGCCCTGCACACACACGGGCATAAATATGAAAATTATAACTTTAAGTAGCAATCACTCAATCGCTGTTCGGGTTCAGGTTCAGCACGAATGCAGTGAGAGAAAAGTTTGTAATCCTGCCTTTAAGAATGCAAGATTGTATGTCCTATGTTAGATTTTTCAACATATTTTCTTCTATATAACTTTTTTTCTTATAATTCCCAACTGCTTTTTTACGTTAACCTAAAAAGTTTAAAATTTCTTATAAAAAAAACTAGAAAAGAGTCTTTTATGGTTACTGATTTGTTCTTAAATCACTTCCAACTTATCTTAAACTTAAGAACTAACTAAATTCAGAAACTTTTTAGCAGTGTTCAGCTGGAGCCAAAGATTCAGGTTGAGGTTGGGACTCTCGTAGCGAGAGCGCCTCATGAATCAAATTTAACGAACGTCTTGTTCATGTTCACAGATCATCATCAGCTGCGACTGCATTTTGATAAAAACCAACAAACATTGTGGGCTAGAAGGAGAGAGGGGAGCTGTATGTGTGTGTGCTGTGTATGGAAGGGGGTTTTGGATACCAGAGGCGGCGTGGAAGGAGGGCTAACAAGCTGAGTGATGTCTGACTGACTGGACGGAACCTGAAGAAGACTGAAGACTGAAGACCGAAGACTGAAGATGAAGGAGGGCGAGCCCCGAACCGAGGATGTTTCTATTTGGAGGAGAGTGCACCCCCTTTTTTTGCAAGAAGAAGAAGAAGTTGAAAGGGGGGTGGGGCTAGGGGCAAGGGGCGGGGTGTCTGCCTGCCTTTTTCGACTGCAAATTATTTTTTATTTGCCAGGAACGAAGGCACGTCGGTCTGCCTTGCCTTGCTTTTGGCTTGAATTCGTTTTTTTTTTTGTATTTTTGTTGCCTGGGCTTTTGTTTTTTCGAGTGTGTGTGAGTGTGTGTGTGTGTGTGTGTGTGTTGTCTTAACTGAATAGCTCGTTAACATTATTGAGCACTTGGCGCCAGTTGTTGGCAGCTTGTTATGGCCAGAGACCAGGGACCAGGCCAAGACCAGAGACATGGCCCCAAGCGAGGCCGACTTTGGAGCCAGTTTCCTGGGCCCACACCACACGCCGTATTTTTCTGTGCTTTTTTTTTTCGTTTTTCTTTTTTTTTTTTTTCTGTTGGACTGAAAACGCCTGGCTTGCTCGACAACAAAACGATTTGCTCTCGTTTGTGTTGGTTCCACAGGCTCTTGGCTCTTTTGGGCCAGCAGCAGCCTGTGCCTGCTGCTTCAGCTTCAGTTTTGAGACGGGCCAGACTCTCTACTGGCCAAAAAGACTGAGACCGAGACCAAGACCAAGACCGAGACCAAGACCCCGAGACCGATACCGAGATTCAGGTTCGTGCAAATCGTTACGTGTAAAACTTGCACCTTTTGACCAGAGCACCCAGCATCGTTGTTTGTTTTTGCCACACACATTTTAACGGGAGAGGCAACGAGCCATCAAGCCAACGAGCCATCGAGCCAACGAGCCATCGAGCCACCACGGCTAATTCAATTTTCCCCCGGCCAAAAGTGTTGAAGGCAGTTGGCAACGCAAAACGCTAAGGCGCAAGGAGCCCATGAGCCCATAATTAAGCTTAATTAAGGCTCAGTGCGTTCTGTTTTTGTTTTTTTTTTTTTTTGTATTTTTATTTCTGTTTCTGCTGGGCGAGTGTTAAAGGTGTCGCTCAGTTGTCCTTAGCCTCGTCAGGCCCACATAGGGGTTAATGGCTAATCAATTAGCCCGGCCCGAAAATAAAATGTTCAACGATTGAGTTGTAATTGGGCTGGGCTCAGAGGAGCAAAGAGGAGGGGGGCGAAAAAAAGAACAACAGGGAAAAACGCAAGGTAAAGACTCTGAAATGAGGGAGAAGTTGGAGAGATAATGATAAAGACTTAAAGTGATCAGAGAAAATGGGGTCAAGCTTTTGAGTGTTATTAAAAGTTTAATATATAAAAATGAATTATAGAAAAAATAAACTTAATTTGCTAGTCATATTGGTTATCTGTCTAAGAAAACCTAAGCCTTGATAGAGGTTTTATAACCATTTGATAAGCTCCCTTTGATAAGCTCCCTTTGGTAAGCTCCATTTGACGAGCTCTTTTTGAGAATGACAAACTACCAGCTAAGTGCTTAACAAAACAGCCTTTAAAGTGCATTCAAAAAAGCATAAAACACACACTCTATAATGTGTTTATTAACACTTCACCAAAATGCCATTCATACATAATCAATTTGATTCGTTTTTGTTCTTTTTTTGCTAGAACTCAACAAGTTTTCATTTACTATTTGATCTTTAGAAAGTGTGGAAAACACAAAGACTAAAAATACCACCCAGTTTTGATCACGAATTTGTCGTTGTATTTCAGTTAACAAAAAAGTGATCATCCCTCATTTGGGTGTAATGCCAAGTTCATACCAAAACCTTATCTAAATCTTGGCTACTTGGGCAGTGGCCATGTAATCGATTAGCAATGCCATCAGCCAAGCCGCAGGTGACATCTGTGTATCCTGTGTCTCGAGTTCCCAGTTCCGAGTTCTGAAGTCCTTTCTTGTTACCCTACTCTGTTAACGTCTATTAACGCACCTGTGTGCCCCGATCTCGATGGCAGGTGAGAGGTGAGGCAACAGAGCTGCCTTAGAAGCGTCAATGCATTATCAGATAGTCAATCAAACAGCAGCCCAAAAAAGAAGAGGCTGCATTGAAGATGTTGATAGGAGGGAGACAAACACAGAGGGAGAAACTCAAAATAAATACAACGAAAAAATAAAGAAACCAAACGGAGGTTCTTCTTTTTTCTTTTTTGTCAACAAGACGCGGGGATTAAAGTAGCACCTGCAGTTTTCTGGTCTGGCCCAAAGGGAACCGAACCGAAAATTGGTACTGCTAAGAGAGGGAAACCCTAGGGGCTGCGGGGGATACTTACTTGTTGACAGTTTGGCTTTCTGACAACAAAATTGCTGTCGGTTTTTTCTTCTTTTTTTTTTCTCCTACTCCTCCTTAATCTTTGTCAACACATTGCCAATGGTTTTCCGATAAGTCGAAATCGAAAAAGGCAAAAAAGTGAAAAAAAAGGGGTGCATATTCACAACATGGATCTTACATCATTTGCCTAGCGAACATCTGTCCTCTCTGTGTGTCCGGTTGATTTATTTATTTGGCCACTTTTTGCATTGCATTTAATTTGAATTTTATTGAATGACAATTGCATGCAAATTTTCTTGAGAAAAGGGAGCTTGGCCTACCCTACCTTTTGCATTTTACAGATGTACATCGTTTGGGTATTTGACAAATTTGTGAGGAGCGCGCCCATCATCAGAGAAGAGAGAAACAGCAAACAGAGAGAGAGAGAAAGACAGAATGCAAACTGGGAACAAGGACCAAAAGGCAGCTGCATCATAAACGTTAATTACCCACACACAGACAGACAGACAACGAGGACGAGAACTACTCTAAAGGATCGAGGCAAATTAGTTAAACCAATAAACTGACAGGCCCAGACTGACTGACCAAGTGGCTGGGCCGGCCATATATCAAGTCTATATAATAATAAAACAATTTATGAAGGCATAACCACGGCCCCAAGTCCTCGTAAACACGCTGCCCGTTTGTTTTAGCCTGTCAGTTAGTGGTAACGCCCACTCCCGTCGTCTCGTTTTTGGCCCGAAATGAATGGCCATGTCATTAAGATCCGAGCGAGAGAGAGAGAGGGCCCCTAAACCCTGCCAGTTCAGTAACCAAAAGGGGATCAAGGATCAAGGGGGAAAAGAGAACAATATCAGGGGATAAAATTCTAAAATATTTATATTTCGTAGGCTCTTATCGATGCTCTCGTTGCTCTCTCTCTCTATCTGACCCTTAAAGCATATAAATCTGTTGCAATGAATAAATCAAAGAAGGGGAATAATAATAATCGATTGTAATTACAATTTGATCGCTTCATTTTTGGGAGAGCGTGAAACGAGCGCAGCTAATGGTGTTATGAACCAAAACTAAAACGAATTTGGGATGCTCTAGAAAAGGAAAGGGGGGGAATAAGGTAAAGGAAACTCCTTACCTTACAGGCTTTACTTTAAGAATCTGGATTTAAGTATCTCACATTAAGAAGTAACTCAAGTTAGTTACTGAAAATGAAAG